CCTTCACTACACTACTATACTACCTCTACTACTATGGGATTTGAATTGACAATTACACCTCTGTGCTAAATGTGGTTTGGCAAGATGAACTGATGTACGTACGTACGTAAGAAGTTCTACGTTGCTATTTATTGATTGATTGACTGAAAATAATTTCCGAAAAAAGGAATTATATATCTCACATGCTATGAAGTCTGTTTGAAGAGTCAAACTAACTTGAATGAATGACACTGAAAATCTTGAAATCAATAATGCAATAGATCTGTTTACAATAAATACAGTGGCACTGCAGGATAAGCAATGCATTTGACAAGCCTCGTTTTGTGAAGTATATGAGACATACTACATGATATAAACTAAGCGATAATGACAACCAACAAGGAGAAACGAGGATTAAACACGAAAAACTGTCATTAATAAAAAAATGTTTAATGAAGGCATAATAAATGAAAGTGGCAACTTGGAGAACCATGAAAGCTATCATCTACAAGATACAAGTGTTAATAATACTGTGTTTATTATTACTGAGGACTCATTGGCCAAACACCACCAGCAATCTATTGTGGGAGGAAACAAACCAGATTCCAGCAGGGGAAGAAATTACGAAAAAGCACTAAAAGTGAATGGGACATACATTGTGAGAACCACCAAACTGTGTCATAAGACAAGCCCTAAGTTGGAATTTTCAAGGTCAAAGGAAAAGAACAATACCCGAGAACACGACAGACATGAAAAGAATGAACAGCAATTGGGTAAAATTGGAAAGGAAGGCCCCAGGAAAGAGTAAGTCGAAGAATACTGGTGGGAGGCCTATGCTACATTAGGGGTAACAGGTATAAGTAAGGTAAGTAACAGTCAAAATATTGAGAAAATCTAATCACAATAATAAAATGGAATAAAACATTACAGGTTTATGTAGATACTTAGAAACACTATATGCTCAAAAATGATCAACACTGACATAGGTTACTGAATAGAGTGTCAAAAACGGAACAGAATAAAAAGAAACTGACGCGTATGAAGAATTATCATACATTGTGAAAGAGGGAATTACTCTGAAAAGATTCGATCTGTCTGTATAACAAGTAGTGTTGTCTGATAGATGATGATGCACTCTAGTTGAATGATAAAAGCTTATGTGATTCAAGTGTTGCGAAAATTTTAACATTGGAAACAATAGATTCTTAAGCTTGCTGTAACAGACCATTTGAAAACTGGAGATAATGCACCCCGTTACTTGAATCAGTCAGTCAGATGCAACGTAGAACTTCGTACGTAAGTACATCAGTTCATGTCGCCATACCACATCAGCACAGAGTTATAATTGTCAATTCAAATCCAATAGTAGTAGAGGTAGTAGAGGTATTAGAAGTAATCGGAAAGGTTAGGATTAGAAGATATTATTCAAGAAGTATAATTTAGTGAGATAAATTTAGAAAGACTAAACTAGAGGTGTTGAAGAATCCAGAAGATTAGGATTCGAGAGAACACAAAGAATAAATCCACCGGCGCCATTGCAAACGGTTTTGGGCCATGTCATTCGGGGTCTCTAACCATAGATTATTATCATCTCGCGGACCCCAACCAGGTAGTCGACATCTAGCGACATGACCCAGTCCACCTGTCAGTGACTTCATGGATTTCTGCCATGTTTCGGTCTGGCCGCCCCTAGCTTTCGTCTAACCTACTACACCGTAAAATATAGCTCGACAAGGCAGTCAGTGTGTAGTCAAGGAGAACACAGGTGAGGGCAACCGGATTGTATTAACCTCAAATCACAGAGTTAATTGGCAAGATAGAAAAACTATATCGTAAATCGTTAATTTGCAAAATATCAATCCATTATCTCGAACTGAACTGTTCCTCTTGCAAACATGAATCCATTGTCAGTCAGTTGCAACGTAGAACTTCGTACGTATGTACATAAGTTCATGTTGCCATACCACATTAGCACAAAACCGCAAATGTCAAATCAAATCCCAAGTGATAGATATATTAGAGGTATTAATGGTAATGAAGAAGAATAGGGTTTGAAGATATTATTCAAGAAGTATAATTCAGTGAGATAAGGTTAGAAAGACAAAGGTAGAGGTGCTAACGAATCCAGAAGATTAGGATTTGAGAGAAAACAAAGAATGGGTGCACCTGCACCATTGTAAACGACTTTGGGCCATGTCGTTGCTTGAATCTCATCAAGTGGATTGAGATTCACCAGAGTTATTATACGAGATCAGTTAAAGTGAAAAGACGGCTTCTTGAAATATATATATAATACAATATAATTGGTTCACCATATTAAAGAATAGCTTTCTTTATTAGACATCTTTAAGCTCTAAGCTAATAAATACTAGGAATGAGAGTGAAAGAGTGGGGAAAATGATCCATTTATGACAACATTTCACTGGATGAAAAATAATTGGGCTAGATTAGAATTCAGTGATTCCTCATCATCATAGTATGGATGAATTTTAAGAAATAAGTGCAAAACTGTTAGGATATTCACCAAATATCCTAAGAATACTATTTTTAGAAGTACAATCCTATTGGTCGATTTCTATTGGTCAAAATTATGATCGTTCTAACTGTCAAAGTCAAATACTTCAATGTTGCCTCTTATTGGTCATCTGGACTGTCAATGTCATTCAAATGTTCTTTTCTATTGGTCGTCCTAAACTGTCAATTTCACAGACGTTGATGCTCCTTCTTATTCGACCTTAATGTGTAAATACGCACTATCTGTAAGCCTTCATGATCTGGATTCCGATTCCGTTTCTCCTGCCTACCTCTCTTCTGTATTCGACCCAATAAACAACTCCACCCCACGGTGTCGCGTTCTGATATCTAGGAGATTTGGAAATAGCATTTTGGGTCGTATTGGGATATTTGAATTGGACGCCGCTAGGACTGAATAGCTATACGTAGCAGCGTTACAACAAAAATTCTACAGCTTAAGGTACTGTGAATAGGTTTGAAAGTTAAAAAGCTAGCGACGATATGTTGTGAGTTCTCTAGATGGCAAAATATATAATTAATTGGCAACTGAATGAAATTTTGCTTCTTTGTGTTCCTCTATCCACATCTTCTAATACATTTTATTTATTCTTCATGATCTATGGATTTTTTGTCTTCACGACAATGTTGTTTATTATTTGCTTATCATACTCTTTGATCTTCTCTAGTTGAGGTCCGCGAGATGATAATAATCGATGGTTAGATAGATACCTTGAATGACATGGCTCAAAACTGTTTGCAATGACGCCGGTGAATTTATTCTTTGTGTTCTCTCAAATCCTAATCTTCTGGATTCTTCAACACCTCTAGTTTTGACTTTCTTCTAATCCTAACCTCTCCGATTACTTCTAATACCTTTTGCTACCTCTTCTACTATTGGATTTGAATTGACAATTATATCTCTGTGCTGATGTGATATGGCAACATGAACTGATGTACTTACGTGCGAAGTTCTACGTTGCATCTGACTGATCTTCTCTAGTTGTAAAGTGTATTTTATATTCTGTGTAATAGAACTAACTCTAAACTTTTCTTTGAAAGAATAAACAAAAATCAAATCAATGAAATTCAAAAGCAACTACAAGTTAAAACTCACAGATAATGATCAACTAGAAATTTTTTCTCTTCATCCATTGTTCTTAGTTTTGATCGTTTGAAAATTTCAACAGAATCTGGATTAGGCAAATCTACTACATGTGTTAAATCCGACTAAGAAGTGATTTTTTTTTATTTAAAAAAGAAAGTTGGTAAATGAAAAAGAGAACATGGTAAACAAGATATTTGTAAGAAAATGACTTTAACTTGATGTAACTCAAGTATAAGCAACATACAACTTGGGATATAATATATATATATATATATATATATATGTATATATATATGCATTACGGGGTTGTGAAGATTGTTAAGTTACACATTTTTGAAACCATGAATCGATCAATGCTAGACCACCATTAGAAACCTGGAAGCACTGGACAGCCGTTTCGTCCTGGTATGGGACTCATCAGTGGCAGTGCGCATCCACGACTCCTGCACCCCGCAGAATTCGAACCCAAAACCTTCGGTATTGTGCGCGAATGCCCAATCTCTGGACCACTGAACCGGTATCTAACGGTGTTAATGTCCAACTTGATCAATTCACGGAGTTGCGCAACCTCATACACAGTCTTCGGTAGTTACTGCCTACACCCGAATGGTTAGGCGTTCGCGCACAATACCTAAGGTCCTGGGTTCGAATCCTGCTGGGTGCAGGAGTCGTGGATGCGCACTTCTGAGGAGTAGTTTCATAACAGGACGAAACGGCCGTCCAGTGCTTCCAGGTTTCTAATGGTGGTCTAACACTAATCGACTCATGGTTTCAAAAAAATATATATATCGGTATATGTAGCCAAATCAAACCCAAGGTATTTGAAAGGACACGGGTACTCTTCCTTGATGAGTTACATTTATAGTGTAAAAGAAGCAACTTCTAACACGTCCAGACTGTAGATACTCAGTAAGAAATTGTATGCAGTGTGGTGAGTACAAAGGGTGATACCGAGAATTTTCCACGAACATTCGCAATTTTCAAAAGGTTTAGTAAACCTGGGTGCGTACGTGAATGCCAGTAATTCTGCTCGAACGCAAAGGATTTACCATCAAAAGCCATCGCAATGGTAGATCCTAAAGAGATCTATTCAAGCAGCAACAGCAGCCAGGAAACGCCTGGAAGACCTAATCGTAAGGCCAGGTATGTTTACAGCAGAAAAAACAATCTGACCACCCAAGTGATTGTCAGTCGCCTAGAATCTCAGTATGCACAACGCAGCCGCGATCACTCTTCAAATGTAAGCTGATGCGTGGGAACAAGTCATAGAAAAATAAACGACCTAAAGTCGTTAAAGAAGAGTCAGTTTTCACAACAGCCGGTTCGAAGTCGAAGAATCATCACAATGACAGGCCAGTCATCTTCCATAGAGGTTAAGGGGAGCGAAAACCCTGATGCATATTGGTCACCAAGGTACAGATACACACACGGTGATTAACATCAGACTATCTGTTGTCCAGACACACCAAGACGTAGGAGTCATCGTCATCCAAGACTTGGAAACTACTGCACACCGCTGTGCAGCAGCTTCCAAAGATTTTGGAACCCGATGGTCAATAGGTAGTGTTTTTAGTCACTTCTATGCTAAAATCATTTTGGCTTAATAGACAGTGTTCGTTCGTACCAAACTCAAATATTGTATACAAACAGCCAGCCCATATCTACAGAGACGGTGAGCTGTTGGAGAAGGTTCAAATAATCGCAACTCAATTAATTCTCGGTATTGCATAGCTGCCGTACGACGAAAGAATTGCCAAGTTAAACTTATTCGCCCTGTCATATAAAAGGACCAGATGTGAATTAATCACAGTTTTTAATCTACTGAGTGATGAATTCCCCTTTGACATGCCTTCAGTTTTCTTGATTTCCAAAACAGAAAATTTACAAGGACACTAAGAAGGATCACAAGCCAAGTATATATTACTTTCGTCTGACTAAAGTTTATCACCAAATCAACAACAAATGGAACTCCGCGTCTGAACACATAGTTGGAGCTCCCTCCATGCATTCAAACGAAAGCTGGATCAAATGAGAGACCACCACCCAGAATCCTTCACAAAACTAAAATACATTCAGCATTTGTCTAGTCTTGAGTTCAATATATATATATATGATTTCTCTCATTTTAAGCTAACTAACAGACATACAGTTGAAGAGTATACTTATATTTCCGATGAAGTTACTACTTGAGTATAAATTTGACAAAAATTAACTTACCTCAACTTGGAATAGTCCAGATTTGGAACCACTAAAACCATAAGTTGGTGAGTTAGGTAGAATTACATCATCCAGTGATGAACTGGTATTTTTTGAATCACTAAACCAATCCAACGACCAATTTTGATTTTGTGTCACAGTATCATTCACTTCTTCAATTAAACATTTAGAAATCTTTGTTTCAGATGAAGTGATCAACAATTTGGTAATTAAATCCAAATCTTTAAATGGTCCTGGTTCAGATTTCTCCAATGTAATGTGTATATCACCATTAATGAATTCATAGTCAAAAGTATTTTCATCTGTTAATACAGAGCCCGGGATATCGAATCTAATAAGGACAATTATACTGTATCAGCGAAAAAAAGCAAACTAAGGACTTACTTAAGATAGTATGGAGAGGAATCAAAATAAAAAGTTTGTTCTTCAACGCATACTTCCATTTCAGATAATTTAGCCAATGGAGCATGAATAATAACTTTGAGTTTTTTATCATCTTGTTCTAATCGGAATATTGGAGTTAGTACCATATTTTAATAAGTTTATGTGAAGTCACTATGAAGCGTTAATGTAAAAATATGGTAAGAAATCAAATGAGATAAAGAGCAGTTTTAGAAATTATCAAAAAAAAGATGAGAATCGAACGCAAGGTTATAGTATACTTATATATTTTTCTAAATAATAGAAGCTAATTTACTGGAGAATTTGAAATAACATCATACAAATTACTTTAAACTTATCGATCATACTTACATCACCAGTTGTCTGTGTATTGAACAAAGTATGAGGTTCAAAGGAGACAAATGTGATTAGTAGCGAGTTTTGTCATCAACCCGACCGTAGCTGCTACCTTGACGTGGTGCCTATCGTGATGACCCAACCGAGCTATACTGGCTGGAACATATGTTCCTAAAGGTTCTACCATGCTAGGCAGGTCGATTGGAGAACGATGAGACTAAAAGCAGCTACTCAAGGTCTGAGGGCGAAGTCGTACTGCTTACTGTAAAGCAATATGACAGCAGTAAGGTGCTTCCCTCGGACAACCAGCATCTGCAGCGATGCTGCCTTCTCACAAGGAAGGAAGGGTTAGAAAAGGTCGACCCTAAAAATGTCACACCTCACCCTACCTCACGGATTTCCGTCTTCGGTGGTAAGGATGCCCACTAAGGGCTTTCAAGAGCGGAGCTAATACTCAAAAAAACCCTTCATAAAAAGGCCGTGCGTGACCGGCCTTGGGCTCTGCAGTCACGCTACCTGGTCGTTAAGACCAACGCTAATCTACCTTCCTCGTCAGGTTCCTCAAGAAACAACCTTCCACGGTGTGGGCAGCCGGGAAGTGACAACCGCCCTCATACCCGTAACAGCACACGAGACCAAATTGGTCAAAATCAAATCCTTCCTACACCCCTTAATATCACTCTTATCTCAACGACTAACTCTTCTCACATTCTTTTGTCACACTGCACAGCTAATACAAACAATGCGAGTTCACGAAACGTCATTTCTAGTCTCCTAAAACCTCGTTCTAAATTACATGTTAGCGCATTTAGTGTACGGACATTGTGTCAAATAGGGCAACAGGCTTCGTTAGCTAGGACATTAGAATCTCGCTCAATCGATGTATGCTGCGTCTCGGAAACGCGCATACAAGATCCCAGAAAAGTCATTAATCTGATTTCGCCTTGTCGAAACAAACAAGCAGCCCGATTTACTCTTCGTGTGTCCGGAAGCCCTGTTGCTGCTTCCAGGGGTCTCGTTGGTGTAGGTATAGCATTGAGTCGTAGGGCAGAACTAGCGCTCCTAGATTGGGTCCTAGTAGATAGTCGTTTGTATGCCATCCGACTGAACGGGACAGTAAGGACTCGGAAAGACAGGGACATCCGTCGTTGCCTCTTCGTCGTTCTCCATTACTGCTAATACTTCTATTATTGCTATCTCTCTTGGATTTGAAGTGACCGTTGCGTCTCTGTGCTGATGGGGCATGACAACCTGAACTGATGTATTTACGTACAAAGTTCTGCGTTTTATGTGTCTGTCTGTCATCAACCGAATGGTTTCAGTCAAACGCGTTAGACATTAAGGGACAAGATGAGTATAGCAACACAAAAGTCGGATGTGATAGTCATCGTTTAGCTACGACATAGCGAATTTCATTATCTTATGTTTTTCTGAAGAGTAGGTATAGCTGAGGTTATCCTACCTACATGTCAAGGTAAATATTCCCGCATGAAGTTGATATCTGACGATCTTTGTCCGTATTTATTTACAACTTTTATTGCATTATTCAAAACTATACCTGCCTAAACTCCTATTATACTACCATATCATAGCATAGTGATGTATTTCGAATTATGTGTAATACGCAAAATATCGTTTATTCATATTCTCCTTCATATATTAATTAAATCATTTACACATGCTTTCTTAACGTCAACTAAGTAATTTAAATATTACAGAACCTGTTCAAATATGGCTGACATTAGGTAAGTATTACCGAAACTTATGTATAATTACATAAGTGATGAAACCCGAAATGGTTTCTTTCACAATACATGCATGAGAATGTCTTTTGTGAATAGTAATCACTTATAGTCTCACTTGGCAGAATTGTATTACTAAAGCTAGTGAGCTATCTCCGTGTTTTGTGAACGGCAATTTTTGACTTCCGTCGATTACTTATGGAGCTCGAGCATTTAAAATATCGACCAATTATACAGCTTATTGAACTTCTGAGTACGAAACACTATGTACAAGTTGAGGACAACTATATTTAGTAAATATTACATGTACACTTAATCTAACGGATTATTTGTGAATGAATATAACTATTCTCCTTAAGCTTGATGAGAGTTCCTAGCATTTAATATCAAGAAACAAACCAGTAGTTGTCTGAATACAGTTATAGTAAAGTGTCATTCGTGTACGACGCAGCATTTCCAAAAAGTTGTGAATGGACATTCACCGCTTAATAATCGCGAAACCACATTTGCATAAATTGTTTAGCGGCAGTAAGAGCTTCTATCGTTTACATACACAATTGTAGAAGCTTACAGGTTAAAAAAACCTCTATAGCTTAATTACAAGTCTATAAAAGTTTGTCAGGGAATGGTTACGTATTAGGTTGACTCTAGCTTATTTACAAGTGCCATAAGTCACTATCTGCAAGCAACAACAGTCTATCTTCTCAATTTGCACTATGGTAAAGTCAAAAACAGCAACACGGCAAGATTTAAAAGGATACTTGTAATAATCACAGTAGTAACAATTATAAGCTTCCAAGGAATATAAACCTGCACTATTTCCTCTGTTCCATCGTATATGAGAAGCAAATAACTAAACAGTAGTTTACAGTAAGCGATAGTGTGATTAAATAGACAACTGACTACAGAGATCTCTCTTTTTTGGATATTGGGCTTACTCTTAGTCATATCTGATGACTTCGGAAGCAATCGAATGACACCACTATTTATTTCAATTAGCAACGAGTCTTAAGAGGGTGTTAGTACTAGTAGTCGGTCGGGAAAAGTTATTTGGCGTGCTAGGATTTGCATAGTTTAATGTTAGATTCACCTCGACTTAAAAGACGCTTATTTAACCATAAGGAAGTAAACACCAACTAGAGGAGGAAAGAAACAAAATGTAATTTGTGATTTTCAGAAATTTAGTCTACGTAAATATGAGTATGCTAATAACAATTCTGACCAAGAAGCATGCAATCAATTTCACACACATTAATCAACTGGCTAGAATTATCAACGGAATGAATTACCGTGCACAGCAAAAACGTGAGTCCCTTTTGAAGCGGCCCGCTTTTTCACCTACACGACCTTGAACGGCTCAATGTGTAACGGCTAACACACATTTCCAAAATCCATCATATTTTTCACGAGCTAGTATCAACCAATTGATTTATTTCGTCAGGGTTCCAGGTATTTAGTAGTGTCCAACGTATGGTAGTATAACCAATCTCCAGCACTTGAGATTATTCCTCCTGAGTTACAGGAGAATCAGAAGTGTACAACATATTAAGCATGCCGAACCATCACAAAGTGAACATTTTACCGAAGCATCACCATCATGCCCCTCGAGGTTATCCTCGAAAAATTGCGCATAAAAGAGCTAACACTCAGGTTCGTGAACAATTGTTCTCATTTATAGTCGTTGCAACTTGGAATGCTCTCCCAGAGGGGTATCCACACCCCGCTCAGTAGACATCTTTAAGAAGAGACTCGGTAAACACATACTCACATACGGATTATCATCTTCAGCTTTACTTTATGCATGCTTTGGGACTTGCCAGTCGTTAATATTGTCATCCCCTCAGATCACTCAATTAATCTATCTCGCCTATTATCTCTGTTTCCTCTCCCTTGCTTACACTAGGGTCTTCTCTCACAATCTTCGATATCAATAATTAAACTAAATCGTCTACATATTACTTAGTTCTGAAATCCTCTTCTTATTAGCATTAGCATTTTCTTCGTATTGTTCTCCTCATTGCAACTAAATGACCTCTGGTCTGGTATTGCGATAGCTGCTGGTATCCGGAAACCCTACTGCACTAAGACAAACTCTTCCATTCAAAATATGGGACATAAAAAATCACAACCAACTGCCAAATGACTAGAATTAGTTCATTCATTCTTTGGACACTATCATACACCTGGAACTGTGTCGAAAGAACAAGAATCGAGTGCAAAGAAATCAACTGGTTTATACTAGCTCGTGAAAAAGATATAGGGTATTGGACTGCACAAATTTTTGTTATTTGGCAGTTATTTATGAACTTGAACTTCCGTGATTTGAATGAGTGCATTTGTATCAGGGAAGTAGGGTTTCTGGATACCAGCAGCTATTACGTTACCAGGCTGGAAATCAGTTAATCGCAATGACGAGAATCATAGGTAGGAAATTCTAATGCTTGTAAGAAGAAGATTTCAGGACTAACTAAATAGCTCGACTTCTTATACCTATCACATTCAAGTGGTGTTTCAGTTTTCTTTTTATTCCATGTGTCAATCAAGAGATTTGAAATTTAACACGGGAAGTTTTAAGTCCGGATTTCGAGACTGTCAGTCCAATATCCAATATCTTCTTCAGGATCTATAATAAACCAATTGATTTCTTTGCTCTAGATTCTTTTGCTTTCGGCACAGTTTCAGGTGTTTGGTAGTGTCTAGTGAAATCGTGTCTGAAACTGAGTGTAATACCTCGATTTAGAAAAAAAGCGAAACGGAAACACTGAGGAAAACACTAGGTTATGGAGCAAAACCATGGGATAGAAACATCAATATGATTAGATTGTTACCTGACCATCAATAATAAAGAGCCAGAGCCAAACATTGCTGCTTCAAAAGCATCAGTGAAGTGAAATAGTCGCACTCGTTGTCAATGTTAGCTGGTGCTTAACTTCATCGTCCTTCCTTTTTGGATGTTGATCGCAATCAGATTAATGGTTGGACTGTAATTATGAGTCTCCAGAAAGGGTTTATGGATAATGAGCAATTATATAAACTGTCACTTAATAAAGACTTTACAGATTTTTACGTCAGTGATCACAAAATCTTTAAGGTTGATGGAACAGATCCAAGAGTTCTTTAGAGACAATTTTTCCGATAAGATCTTGACTCAGCCCATTTGGTGATTTCATTTAAATTATACTTCAATGTTCGCGACTTCGATTTACGTGAACAACTACATTAAGGATGACCGAACTTTTCATAGATAGGGAACAACATCTGCATCGTACTAGTACTATTTTTTATGTACAGAAATGAAACAAGCGTAAATATTCGAAAGATGACGTGTTAACGACAAGAAAGCTGACCAAAACTACTACATAAAGAGTTCGAGAGTTCCCAATAACATACAGTATGTCCGCGATAACGCCTGGTTTTACATGTTGACCATTACGAATCCGTTTGCTGGAACAGCTCATAACAGTCGAAAGATGCCTAATTAGAGGTAATAATCCAATCGAACAATGAATCCATCCTCATTGTATCGAGTGGCCTTACACACATGTTCAGTCGGTCCCGAGCATATGATGGCCATGATAAGTCGCTTCAGAAATCTCCCTGTGGAGGTTCTGCAGTGCTTGTTGGGATTTAGGGATTGGATATTGAATTCTTCATCAAGAAGTGTTTATTCGAACCCCAGGTATGGTTGAAATGAATTTCAAGTGATACTAGTATATCCACAACAAACAGTGATTTTGTTCCCATACTGGTTCCGAATGTGGCTGCTATAGTCATCTGTTCAGTCGACACTTTGTTTAGTGAATTAAGTATACCCGTGGGAATCAATAAATTTGCTTTTGACCGGGTCATTTATTACGATAAACGAAGTTTATCAGCAATGTGGTTCATCGCCATCTGGGACTAAAAAGCAATTTGTCAAGATATATAGAACATTGGTTGGGTACTTTTCATTCAAAATAGGCATCTACAGATGCAATGGTAAGCTGGTTGAATTTAAGGAAATTTCTGCAGAAACGGTGCACGTGAACAGATACAGCTTAATAACTATCAGGGGCATTTAAATTTCCAGTTATTTTCAGTTGAAATGATTTTAACATTCCCTTTCGATTCAGTGCACATGATATATTTAGGTGTGATGAAAAACTGGTCCTCGTATGGATATATTCATCTTCACATAGACTCCAAAATATGGACAGACTTAAATAAATTGACCGCCAGTTATGTTGTAAGTGCTCTATCAGAATTTCAGCGTAAATGCCGCGCATGAGATTTCGTCACATTATGGAAAGCGACTGAATGTTGATTGCATTCCTTTATTTAGGCCCAAAATTTCTTAAAAACTCTTTACCATTATCATAGTGAGTTTGTTACGGATGTGAACACTTAGTCTCTTATTTGTATTCAATGAAGTACCTTCCTGATCAAATTTTAAAATTTTAGCACTAATTTTCACCATCCCAGTAAACAACTTTGCTTGGATGCAACAAGTTTTCAACAGTTCATATGTCTGGATATTAAGTAACTGTGTGTATGCTGCAGATGAGGCAATAGGAAGAGGGCGGTTGATCGAGAGGGTGAGACCTACTGAACAATGGTTCAAGTTTGGAGTGATTATGTTTGTCAGATTGGTTACTCTGACTGTCTTTCACTGATGTGCTCTATCCCTTCCTTTTTTCGAGATATTATATATTTTCAAGGATAACCGAGAAGCAGGAAAACCCCAGTCTTTGTAACAAAGCACCCATAGACAGCTGAAGATATTCATCCTTCTATTGTTTCATATAACTTGATGATAGTCATAATTCACAGTATTGTATATGCTAACTAGTAATGACTACATATGTTCAATTCGTGCTCTAGTAGTCATGTGTGAACCGGTATTAAAGTAAGAAAGAACTCTGTCAGTAAAGTGGAAAGTAATATATTTAGTATTTGAATTAGCTGCGGTATAATATTAAGGGGAATCATTGTTGTATGTAAACATCACAAACTTTTCAAACATCAGTTCAATTTGAAATTGTTATATTGGAAATTCAATTTATTTGTTCATATAAATATGACTGAAGAATAGTTCCACTATAAGATGATTAGATCTGCTAGCCATCAAC